GTTGCGTATCCAACAGTGTTGCGAACGATGGGTTGTAGGTGTTCCGTCGTGGTGCCCATGGTGTGCCGGAAACTTTGTTCAACAGTGCGAGGTCGTATTTGAAGTCCGGTTGTAGTCTCCGTACTGTTCGTACCTTTTGTACGCCTGATTCCGTTGCGACGTAGTTTTCTCCGGTTTCGGAAACTTTTCCGAGCCAGATGCATTTCTGCATCCGTAGGTCTGCTTTTGGAAGTTTCTTGTGTTGTGATGGAAAGGTAAAGTAGTGTCTCGCCAAATTCGCAGATTGCTCGCTCGTAGTTTCTTCCCCAGCGGCGTTCAAAGCTTGTGTAGCCGTCTGAGTGGATGACGTAGCGAGTTACCGTCCATGCTGCTGGTGAGTGTCGTACAGTCATTGAGCCGACTTTTGCTGCTGTAGCTTTTAGAAGTGCGTTGAGTGTGTCTTCGTTGTCGCTTTGTAGTATGCCTTGTGTTCTTCCGCACTCAAAGATGAATGCTTGTAGGTTGTTGATCATGTAGTCCATCATTGATGGTTTGTCCGGGACCATTTTTGCCACACACAGTTGTGTAGTAACATCAACTTCTGTCAGTACTGGTATGGTCTTTGGGTCTTGTTGTGATTTGATGTAGGCGAAGTCTACTTGAATGACGGGTTGTCGTGATTGTTGTTTCTTGTAGTTGTCTTGGCGTCCTGTGCCTTGAACGCAAATTGGACACCAGTTTCTGTATGGTAGGTGTGTAAGATTGTGTTCTGCCATTTGTTGTGGAGTGGGCTGCTGTGGTTGTCGTAGTCCTCTTGCTCTGTGTGCTTCATGATGCTCGTGTTGTTGTTCCTCATCGTGGTTCTCCTGGATGTACTCGTAGTCTTTCTTCACGGTGAACCTTGTTGTTCCTTTCCATTGAAATGGTAGTGCTGCGTTGCCCATGACCATGACTGTCCAGTCATCTTTGCGTTGTGAAACTTCTCCAAAGTTGTTGTGAGTGATTGTAGTTCTGTGAGGTTCAAGTGTGCTGATTGGTGGATGTCCTGGTCCATCTGTTGGAGTGAATGGAGTTGTTCTAAGTGTTGTGTGGTGTCTTATCCAGTATTCACCTTGTCTTTCCCAGTAGTCTTGGTTGTCCTCCTGTGCTGTGAGTGGTCTGTGGATTGTCTCCTTTGGTTGTGTGGTGTCAAGATTTGTAGAAGGTGCTGCTTTAGGTCTCCATATCTTTTGTGGTGCTCGTAGTTGGATCTTTGATCTGGTTGGTGGTGTGTCCATTAGCCGTTGTGGTTGTGAGCTCTGCCTTGTTGGTGTGGTCTTTGATGTTGCTCTGCGTGTAGGTGTCATCTTTCTTCTGAATCTGGTTTCTCCAGTCCAGTTGTCACCTTCTAGTCTTCGTTGTAGTTCTTGCTTGGAAAGTTGTGTTGGGTTCTCTTGTAGTTGTTCTTGCTCTTGCCCTTGTCTGTTGATGATGGTTAGTCGCCAATCATCTAGTTCTCCTTCAGGTATTGGGCAACCGCTGTTGTGTGGTGTGAACAATGCTTTGCGTGGTCGTTTGTGTACTCTGATGGCGTAGTCACCATCAAGTTTCCAGTAGTCAGTGTTTCCACCAAGGATCTGTCGTAGTCCTGGGTCTGTGTGGGCGAGTGGTGCAATTTGTTCTTGTTGTTGTACTGTTTGCTCTGTAGGTTGAATCGCAGCAATGGTTTTCCATTGTTTGCAGTCATTGGATAGATGTCGAATCCTGTAGGGATGTCGATCTTCTCTGCTCGTAGGTAGAAAAGTCCTGAGTGTCTTATGAGGTGTGCTTGTTGTTGTCCATGTGTGATGGTGCAGTGTCGTGGAGTGAAGTCAAGTCCATATCCTCTATCAAGTAGTCTTGATGCGCTGAGGATTGGACACTTCACATCACAAACGTAGTGGGGTATCATGATCCTGAAGTTGTCCTGCTTGTAGGGAACGCGCTTGATGCCGTAGACAGGAATCTTCTTGTTTGTAACCGTGTAGAGTTGTGGAACTGATTCTCCACAAGGTCGTAGCGGTAGGTCTGGTGCGTAGTCCTTCGGGCAAACATGTGTAGGTGCTCCTGAGTCGATCAACAGGTGGTGGTATGACTTGAAGTTGGAGTACATGATGTAGTGTGTGATAGTGTCCTCAATCTTCTTGTTCCTTTGTTGTTGTCTTGCTGCTGCTATGTCGAAGTGTGGCTGTGTGGTGTCTTCTTGTAGGAATTGTTGAAAGCTCTTGCTGTGGTCGTTCCATGATGTTGTGTGTGTTGTTCTCTTGCCAAGTAGTGCTTTGGATTTGTGCTTGTGTAGTCGTGAGTTTGCTTGTCTGATGTGTCCAATGGTAAGGTGTGACTCGTTGATGCCTCCAATGTAGTTTGCTGTGTCCTCATAGCTGTTGTCATTCCAATCCCAGCTGTTGTCATAGTCGTAGTCGTTCCAGTTCTCCTCCATGTAGTTCACCTCGTGTTGTCCTTCTTCTCCTTCGTAGTACCAGTCCCAAGTGTCGTTCACATCCTGAGGTAGTTCTTCATTGTTGTCATGATCTGCTTGTTCTTGTTCTAGTGGATGTAGTTCTTCTCCTTCTCCTACGTGCCATACTGGCACTCTGCAGTCTTGTGCCCAGTGGCCAGGCTTGCCACATCGATGGCATGTTGTGTAGTTGTTGTTTCCTTTTCCTTTTGATTTGCTGTAGTTTCCTTGGCCTTTGTAGCCTTTGCTTGATCCATATCCTTTGAATCCTGAGTAGCCTTTTCCTTTGCTCTTGTTGTATCCTCCTTTGTTGTAGTTTCCTGTGCTGCCTTTGTCGAATCCTTTGTAGTGTCCTTTACTCCTGTACTTGCCTTTGCTCTTGCTTCCTTTCTTTGTAGCTGCCTTTTCCTTTTCCTTTGCCTTTGTAGTTTCTTCCTTTCCTCCATATGTTGTCAACATCCATTGGTGCAGCTCCTCCATTGTAGTTTGTTCCTACTGCTGAAGTAGATCTCGTGAAGGCTGAAATCGTCTTGTAGTAGTCCAAGATGAGTGCTCTGATCTCGATGTAGTTCGTGATCTGTCCAGCTCGCAGTTGGAGGTGTTGCTGCAGTGCTCCTTTCGTTTTGTTGAGTAGTATTGCTATTTTGATTCCATCTGGTAGTGCTGTTCCATTGTCTTTCTCGTAGCGGTTGATGTCGTATTCCCATTGTAGAAATTGTTCTTCAAACTGCGCTTCGTTGAAGGTAGGTTCCAGTAGTTTGGTAAGGTAGCCAACGCTTCTTGTTGCTACTGGTAGGCTGAACCTGTTGTGTAGTAGTCGTAGTGTTTCACATCCGTTTGCGTTGTAGCGGTTTTGCCTTACTACTGTAGCCTGCTGCTCCCTGACAGATGTTGATGAGGATGGTAGTATAGATCTTTGGAGAGGTGTAGGGTCGAGTATGTGTGTTCTGATGTCTGTGTCCTCAATCTGTCGTGTAGCCACTTGTGCTAGTTGTAGCACCAGGTCGAAGTCTCGGTCTATGAGGCCGAGGTATGCTTGTAGCTTGAACAGCCATTCTTCATACTGGGAGTAGTCACCAGTGAAGAAGGGTGGTGGCAGTTTGTTTCTATGTACTCTCTGAACGTCGTTTGTCTTGTTCTGTTCCTGCTTAAGTAGTTGTGGCTCCTACTGTGTCTGCTGTTGGCCCGTTCTCTGCTCCTGTAGTTTGTTGTGCTGAGGCTGATGCTGCTTCTCCTGACATGTCGTAGTAGTTTGGCATGTGACTGTTGTTGCTGTGGTTGTAGTACTTACTGCTTACTGGAGCTCCCCTATGTTTAGGATCTCAGCTCCGCTACCACGTTAAAATCGGTTGTTACTTTGCTTACAAGTGCAAGTGCTGTAGTGTTCAAACAAACAGTCAACCGATGTAGTTAGTCTGCAGCTGCCAACCTTTTCACTCATGCGAAGTAGTGAGCTCAAGGCCTGCAGTAGTGAACATACATGCAACACAAATGCAGGAAGTGAAGCATGTAGTTTGACATCTCTCTCTCTCTCTCTCTCTCTCTCTCTCTCTCTTTCTCTCTCCCTCCCTCCCTCCCTCCCTCCCTCCCTCCCTCTTGTAAAAGTCCATTGCACCTGTGCAATTGTTGCCTCAACCTGTATGTGCAAGCGGCAGCTGTCAAGCCTCAACCTGCTCCAAACTGTCTAAGCCTTAAGGCCTTGCATGGAATGTGCTGTATGACATGTATGAGGGAAGCCACATGTTTCAGATTGTACGCAGCGATTGTACACTCTGAAAAAAGGTGGCGGAATGCTGCAAGCTTGTCCTTGGCAATGCTCCTGTATGACAGAGGTGCAACTGTGTTCCTAATCTTTCGGGTCAATACAAGAGATCCAAACTGCACACAGCAGAAAGAATGTCTAGCCGCGACTGTTCAAGAGCCTATATCCTCAGACCTGTGCTCGCTTGTGATGCAATACCACAGGTTCTGTTTGGCACATCACTGTTGCCACCGAGCACGATGCGATGTTTAGCACACTTTGCCTGATGCGAGGCTGCATGCAACACATGTGTGCATGTTTCTTCCTTTCAGTTTCCTTTCTTCTTTCTTCCTTCTTTTCTTCCTTTGTTCCTTGCTTCCCTTTTTGCTTTCTTTCTTCCTTCCTTCCTTCATTCCTTCCTTCCTTTCTTCCTTGCTTCCTTACTTCCTTGCTTCCTTACTTTCTTGCTTCTTTTCTTCCTTTGTCCCTTCCTTCCTTACTTCCTTGCTTCTTTTCTTCCTTGTTTCCATTCTTCCTTTCTTCCTTTCCTCCTTGTGTTTCCTTGCTAGCACTTTTTTTTTCTTCTTGGCTCCGTTCCTATTTTACAGACTTTCCTCGCTTATCGCCCAGCTTCTTACTTTCTATCTCGCTATGATTTCTTACTTCATTTTGCCTGCATGTATTTTTCTTTCTGTTCCAGCCTTCCCCCATATTCCTGCCTTTCTCATTGTTTGTTCCTTCAACCTCTTTTGTTCTCGTCCTTCACCATCAGAGCGGTAACATGCAAGCCTTTTTGTGGCCGAGGTCAAGGTGCCATTGCAGCGCTGGGATACGGAGATCTACTACAGGACGCGGAGATCTATTTGCTTACAATCCCAACATTGTGTTGACAGGGCAGAGCACACCATTGGCTTCTCAATGACCTGCCATGGCGCAACGCTGCAGCAGGCCGATGGCAACGGTTTCGGCATTTTTCGCCGATGGTTCGATCTTGTCAGCCCAAAAGCCGCGCCAGTCTGAAATCGAGCTCTTCGACAATCAATTCTTTGGCATCGACGGAAAGCAGGCAAGGATGGAGGCAAAAAGGCCTGGCAGAGCTGCCAAGCCAACCTCAGATCGCCGCAGGCTCAGGAGATGGCTCCGTACATGCGAATTCTGCTCGAGGCGAGAGGGGGTTCAATAGTACTTTCTGATGGCATTTGCTTTGTTATGCTTGTGGCAGTTCTGCACAGAGCAGATAATTTGTCATACCAAGAAGGCGTTGCAGCCCGCGCAATGCAAAGGCATCGACATGATCCCATGGTCCTTTGCAGGTGGGCTACGAGGCGCTGCACAATGCAGGGCATCAGAAGAACGAGCTGAAGGGCTTCAAATGTGGCGTCTTCGTGGGAGATTCCGGCCGGCATCACATTTGATGATTGTGCTTGGCCCAACCCAGCACGAGGCAGCGATTGGGATGGCGTCCACTGGACTCCCACCGAGATGCGTCCCATGATCTTTGCCGGAAGGCGTTGCCATGGTGAGCTTTGCTTCGACTTTGCTTCTGTTTGGTCAGGGAGCGCTGTGCAGCCGCCAACCGTTTGTCGCACATCTTTGGCCTCACCGGCCCAACCTCGACAGCAGAGACTGCCTGTGGCGGCCTTGGCAATGCTGAACGAAGTGACGCCATGTGAAAAATGAAACCCGAGAGCTGGAGGCTCTTCCTCGCTGGTGGCCTGCGGTGTTGCTCAGATGACCATGAGGCTGGCAAGGCTTTTGCAGGCCTTTCGAGCGCGCGATTGCCAGGTCAAAGCTAGAAGATCAGATAACTCCTAACGTCACCACTGACCTGAAGCACAGCCTTGTGGCGCGCTCCCCATGTTGCAGTAACTCTCCGTGCCAAACTCTGCCTGCCAGATGGGCAGCAACACTCTCATCGGGCCCGGCGGCTACATTTCCCTGAGTGGACCAGGCATGCTGACCCACCAAGGAAGGCTCCAGACTCAATCAGGATGCCAGAATGTGTGCAATGTGCTCTGATGAGGTGCTTTACTTTTGACCACTCGGCCGATGGATTCGCTCGAGGGGAAGGTATCGGAGCAGTCAAGCTGAAGGCGAGCTGTTTGCGCTCAGAAAGCGCCAGCGCGAGTGCGCCTCGCGCACGCCCAGAGAGTCTCCCAGGTCTGCGAGGACTCCTTTGAAGCTGCAGGCCGAGTTGCAATGCTCATCGGCTGCAGCGTCAACCAGGCCGAGAGTTGGCTTTCCGAAGGCTTCTTTCGGGGGTTCTTTCAGAGTTCATCCTTTTGACTTGAAGTGAAGCCAGGATGGACGCAGTGCCTCCATGACAGCACCGCACGGCTTGGACCCTGGTTGTTCAATTTGTTTGGGTGCTGAATGCGGCAGCTGGCAGTATGTACCTCGCGAGGAATTTGGGTCAAGCACTGATACGTCATTTGGGATGAAGCGGTTCTTTCCCTTGCTCTCTGTAAAGAATGACTAGGTCACATTTTCAGACGCGCCGCCATTTCAACATTTCAGGCTAGCTCATTCGCAGGGTCGGCCTTGGCTTCCAGGCCCTTCGCAGCAAGAGGTGATCCGGCAGTCCATGCGAGAGGCGCGGGCGCGGCACCGTCTCACCGTCTCACCGTCTCACCGTCTCACCGTCTCACCGTCGGACCGTCGGACCGTCGGACCGTCGGACCGTCAGAGGCTGGCGTCTCGCCAAACCTCATCACCATCGCCGAGTGCCACGGCACAGGCCTGGGGAATGCCCCACGGCCCGGCTGACGAAACTCAGTCGGCAGGAACAGCTTTGGGTGACCCCATCGAGATTGGAGCCTTGCGCGGAGCCAGCCTCCTGGGCACTGAATTTGCGGCTTGCGCCGTATGTCCAACGCAGCCAACGCATCCAGCTTGCGTGTCCACTGCTCTCAGACTCTCACCTGAATCTGAGGTCCTTCGGGCTGATCGCAGCACTCCAATCCTGAAGACCAGCTCCAAGACGAATCTGGGGCACCTGGAAGCGGGCGCTGGTTTGGCAGGCAAAAGAGAAGCAACATGCAACATGTACCGAACATGTAGATCTCGCGCTGCCTTTCCATCCGTGCGCTAAGTCTTTCACTGCCTTGTGTTTTTGGCAGGCCTCATCAAGTGCATTTGCATGCTGAACTACTCAACTGGAGCTCCCAACATTCACCTTCTCGTGCTGAATCCTCACTTGGACGTGGCAGGCAATGGGCTCGGGTCGATCAATTTGTTCTTGCCGTGCTTACTGCCTCACTACCAGGCTATCCAGTGTACTTCGAGTCGGAGCTAATAGACTATGGTCGGGCGCCCGTCTCCGCAGAACACCGAAACAACAAGCAGGCTTGCAACCAAGTTAACTTTCCGATATTTGAGGCAGTAACAGTGGGCTGACCGGCGTGTCATCCTTTGGCTTCGGAGGCGGCTCAATTTGAATGAGATTTCGATCAGATTCTCAGCTTGGAGGTACCAATGCACGTGCCGACGTGTGGGGCCATGCCACCAAAGGGCATCGGTACGCAATCTCTGGCCCACTGGAGTCCCTGACAGCATTTCGCTAGCAGTGTGACGTGAACTCACGTTGATGTGAGCGCTTCGGATCGAAACAGGTGCGGTTGCACAAGATGTTGCAAAAGACGCCGAGAATCAACAGTTGTGGCCAGCTATCATTGAATGTCAGTCAAGAGCTTGACTCGAGCGCCTTTGCTCAAGACCTGGGCAGCTCGCGTGTGATGCTGGCCGGCGCCTGAGAAGTTGGCTGGCACGGCCGGCACCAGATGGCGCCGGATGGCGCCGGATGGCAATGGGTCAGGCCCAGGCTTCCGCCTTCATCAGTTTGCTGCCGACAGTGCTGGGCCACCTGTCTGCACTGAAGTCAGTCACATGCGCTCGCGCTGCAGAAGCCAAGGTGCGATCCCCAGCTGTGCAGTTGCGGGTGAAGGGCCCGGGCCCCGGTCCGCAGGTGTTGTGCAGTGTGCTGAAAGGAGTGCTCTGAGAGAAGCTCGAACAACGTGGCAGCAGTGGCATTTTGCGCGAGTCGGCTTTGATTCTGGTTTTGCGGCTCTCAAACTGTTCCCTTCAATCTGGACACGCTTGCTGAGATATGATGATCCGGTCGTCACCTCTGTGAATGGTGGCGTTGGTGCGCTGCAGCGCTTGTTCTTGCGAGACAGGTGGCATTTGCATATGCGACCTGCGAGACAGGAGTGTTGGACTCTGCGACCTGCCAAGCTGTCTGCGTTCGGCACCCAGCGCTTCGCCACGCATTGCCTTCGGTGCGCTTCGATGCGCGCGAGACAACCGGCTGCTCGGAGGCCAAGCGCTTGGATTGCTCCGCAGGAACCCAAGAGACGGGTGCATGGCACGCGGGCACTTTGGACTTCAGTCTTTCGAGTGTTTCGAGTGCTAACAAAACCTAAAGGAACGAAGGAATATTAGGAACAGAAGCTGCACATTGGCATTGGCCTGAGCCTCAGGTCTTTACCTATTACAAAAGCAATGGAGGCAGGGGAGGGGACATGTCAAGCTTCCAGACCTGTGATTGGACCAAGTCGTGCATCCAGAGTCTAGGGATGCACCGCGCTTCAGTGAATGCTCCAAGGCAATTGGACAAGCATTGCCAATGTGAAGCGCAGCTGTATGCGTAGGGAAGTTGATGGCAAGTTAAATTGCGTTGTGAAGCAAGCACAAGCCTTCCAATGCCCATGGGATCAATTGGAGTGTCGAGCCAGGGACACTGGCCACTTGCGTTCTCATCATGCTGTTGCAGGATTTTTGTGCACAGGATCTGCGCATGGACGGGCTATTCCGATCAATCGAAAAAGACTAGCGAAGCTTGTAATTGTCCATAGAAACCAGAGAAATAGTGGGGATTGTATATGTTGAATTCTGCGCATCGTGCAGGCTGTTGGCTGCAGGGCGCCGGCTTGACGTCGAAGCCGATGGCTGGTGTTGTCAGTGGTCCGCGGTCTGCTCCCTAGCCATCCCTAGCAGGGCAGCTGGGGCCATTGGGAGTGCCTTTTGCAGCGTGGCTCGCTTAGCATCGGAAGGACTTGCGACCAGCCCCCGGTTCCAGCTCCTCTGCCAGCGCAGGCCATAGCTGGATTCGGCTGAAGGCTTTTGGTAACGCAGCTGGGAACAGAATGGACTGGGGCAGGCAGACATGTCGCCTTCTCCTGCCCCAACGCCACGCTTCCCAGCTGCGGCTGCCGGTATGGACGTAGCAGCGGAGGCCGACATGGACCCAGCGGATGCTGCCGCGGGCTTGGTCTCGATAGCGCCACCAGACTCACAGGACTCCCTGGACTCGCTGCACTCGCTGCTTGCCGAGGTGACGACGCCAATGCCGCCAAGATTCATAAAGGCCGAGGGGGACGTCCGATTCCCCGACATGTTCGACATGCCGATGCGCAATACAGCAAGGAAGCAAGGAAGAAGCGAATCAAGAAAGGATTGCAAGGAAGCAAGGAAGCAAGGAAGCAAGGAAGCAAAGGACGCAAAGGACGCAAGGAAGAAAGGAAACAAGGAAGCTAGGAGGGAGTTCTGGGATGGGGGTGCCGTACGTGTTTCAGGCTGGTGATGCCCTCTACTTTGCTGAGGGCAACACTCCACGAAGGAGGGAGTGAGTAAGCGCTCTGATGTGGAACAGCCATTTGCTGTGTTTGACAGGGTCCACCTGGTGCGCTTCCATTGCGTCGGTTGTGAAAGTGCTTGCAAGAATTACATCCATGTGTCCCTGGCGGGGTTTGCTATCACGTGAGAGAGGCTAGTTTTGAATTGTCGCCAGGTGAATCCGGACTATGTTGCCCGCAGCTAGTTGTGTCTCTCGGCAGCTAGGATCATGGAACGGGTTTGCTGCAGGCCAGCTTGGAGCAGGACGTGGACTTCAATTGCGACATGCTAGCAGCGTCCTCGAGTCAGCGAAGAGATACTCCGAGTCAGCGAGTCGGTCGTCTCACGAGTGACGTGAGTCTCGAGCGCAGACCACCACCACTGCACCAGAGCCCGAACTCCAGCCGTTGCGGGTCAAGCATCAGGCAGGCCCCAGACACTTTGATTTGAGTCTCGATGGGACGTTTTGCAATCAATTGCCAGGATTCTCATGGATGGCTGTGGCCGTTGCTCATTTGCACCTTGTCCTCAGTGCTACATCTTTACATGGGTGGAGCTTGGCGAATGGAGCTCTGATCCAATGCTTTGTGAGGTCTTTTGCTGTGCTGCGGGCTTGGGCATAGCGATTGCATTGCTGTGGAGCGATTGCATGGCGCATTCTGGGCATTCGTAGCTTCGGAAAGCTCTGGAGCCAGGCTGTGTGGGTGGCTTCCTCCTGGCCTGTGATCAGAACTGGCACAGGCATGAGCAGAGCTTTGGAGCGGGCTTAGGAGCTGCTTGGACAGGCGAGCGAGAAAAGACAAAGACCGGGAAGGCTTGGAGTCTCATAGAATGTGATGGTTTCTATGTTTTCGGGATGTTGCCCATGAACTCATGAACTTGTGCTGCCTTGGAGGCCGACACTCTGAGCGACAACCGCTGACAGGGAGTGCCGTGCAAGGAGCATGCAAGTAGTGCAAGAAGTGCAAGAAGTGCAAGTGGTGCAAGTGGTGCAAGTGGTGCAAGTGGTGCAAAGCAATTGACATTTGTCGTTGTGACGCGCATAGGGCCGCCTGCAGCTCTGCCAGAGGCAGTGCTGGGCCCGGGGACCGCGCCTCAGCTCAGCCTCTGAGCTCGCTGAGCTCGATCACTTCTGACGCTTCGCAGCGCTTCGTGACAGCGGAGGCCTCCCATCACGGGCGTGGCTTATTTGCCTCCCCCAGCCAGGGCCCTACCTTCGGACTGAACTAAGGCTTTCAGTCGCTCACTTCAATGCGAAGACTGTTTTTTAAAGGAATTGTCTCGTTTTTCTTTAGTTTTTTTCCTGGATTCTGCCTTTTTGGTTTCGTAGCTGTGGTTTCTTGGCTTTTGCTTTTTGCCTTCTGGCTTCTTCTGCCTTTTTTTCAGGAGGCGCGCTGATAAACGACCGCTGTGTTTCGAGCACTTTCGCTGTTTTCGCTTAGGTTTCGTGACACGTGAGGCCGTTTTCCCATTTGCCGGTGGACCTTTTACTTGTGGCGTTGGGGGTGGGGGAAAAATACAGAAAGGGGATTTGAAGGAACTGAAAATCCTTTCTGTATTTTTTCTATCAACCAATGAAAAACACATTGAAAAACCAAGTATCAACTAATAGATAAGGTTAATAAATCACAACCTTATTCATTCTAAGTAATTCCTAGAAAAGATACACACCTTATCCATTATTTTTTCACTACTTAACCTATTTCATTTTACTATTTGTTTACCCTTATTCATTTTATATTTTAAGTCTATTTCCAATTCTCAGAAACTCCAGTTGTTCTTCATTTTTTCTTTTTACCTTATTCATTGTTCACGAATTTTTCACTCAGACTTAAAAATATGACTAAAACACATTTCACCTAATAGCTCCACAAAACCAAACAGTCAAAGCACACAAGAAAA